ACTGAAGTTATTTGAAGTAGGAATGATCTCTCTCTCTCTCTCTCTCTCTCTCTCTCTCTCTCTCTCTCTCTCTCTCTCTCTCTCTCTCTCTCTCTCTCTCTCTCTCTCTCTCTCTCTCTCTCTCTCTCTCTCTCTCTTTCGCTCTCTCCCACTTCCTCTCTCCTTCCCTCCCTCCCTCTCTCCAGGATCCCTAGGGACTGAAAAAGTCAAAGTGGCACCTTAACTATTTTTGCTCTATTTTTGTCTATTGAGGGGACTTTCACCTATACTCATGGAGTACCAGCCAAAGATATTACTATTATTGCTACTTCTTCTGCTACTACTACTGCCACCACTACAACTGTAAAATAGTGTCCCACACTTATGCCAACAGGGAAAGTAGCATAAAATATTTCCTCTGATTGTACATCCATTTGGCATCTTTATCTGTGAAAGGGCGAGAAAACAATACACAGAACCCAGTATACAAACTACAAAACTGTCTAAAAAAATAAAGCTCACTACAGTTTCAATAAATAAAGGAATGTCAAAATAAATGCAATTGAGATGTGGACATGAACAGTAAAAAAAAAAAACTTATGAAAATTTGTGAACTTTTTTTTCATAGTACCTACACTGGTTATTCCCAATATTTCACTGCAAAACAGGGTGAATTCAAGGCCACTCTTCTTAAATGATGCAAGGCAAGGCAGTGAATTTCCATTCCCAGATTTGATGTACAGGAAATTCTTAAATGATGAGCAGTATTTATAGTAATAATTATACATAGCATTTATACTAATATTGTCATAGCTGTAGACTTAATGAATGAGGGATATAACATACTAACAATGAAATCTGATTAATTATGATCTAATAGATTTATTGTAGTCTATCTGACCACAAAGGATTTAACTTCCATTTAGTAGCTTGCCACAAATAATGTCTGCAATTAATCCGGGACACTCCTGTTGAAGATGTGGAGGAAGAGGGAAAGTAAGAGGAAGACAGAGGGAGTTGTCTCTTTTGATAAAGGAAGTATAAGAACCTTTCCTATACATGCTCTCTCAATCAAATAATACCCCAAGCACCACCTACTTGAGATAACAAAAATGCTATGATTAACAAAAATCTTGGCTTACTTAATCTTACCCAGAAGGTCATGAGATGGACCAACGTCACAGGGTCAAAAAGTGTGTAGACTTGAGAAATAATTCCAACAATGATAAAGTTCTCTGTCTCATAATAACAATGACTTGATGGCAGAGTATAATAGGTATTGCATGCAGCAACTGGGACATGATGTAGGTTGAGGTAGTAACAGTAATATCAGGACGACAAAGAGTGGTGTTAGGTAAAGTTCTTCTGGACATCAGTTGCTGTATTTTTGTATCCTTAAAATGTTCTAGCTGACTTTAGAAGGTTATTAGTCAAATTTATTAATGAAAAATCCCCAGGTTTGGGGGGCAAACACATCTACAAGGATTGAGGTCTACATTTCTACAGCCAGAGTGGAATTTGTCAATTGTCAGATCTTAGACAATCTGACATTCTGAGCAAGTGTGAGTTTGGTGTTATTGTTG